GGGAGTCTCAACAAACATCCCAAAGTACCGTTTTCTGCGTGTTTTTGGTCCTTGTTTTCACCGCGAGGGTTGCCAGGCGGTAGAAATTGCCCAGATGTCCGCCTCCCGAGGATTCTCTGACATTTTTCTATGGATGCCCTGGAGGGCCGGACACCACCGTGACATGCGGAGTGTTAGTCTGTCATCATCAACACTAAAGACCACGTGACCAAACAATATTTTAGGGTGTTGGCAGAAGCGAACTAGATTTATGGTACCACTCTTCCTATCCCAAATATAATATACTACTTTACATATTTAAATCCCTAACAAACTGGCCATCACTCATCCATCCCGACCATTCCCAAAACACGTGTTTCCTAACATATAGCCGCTTACCTGCAACAACCACGAGTATTTCCGCAACTGGCTGACCTCATATACCGGAAACAGTTTAAATACATTGGGATAAGACGTCATAGCTTTATATAATTTGTAAGTCACTTTTTAAGTATCGGATTTTTGATGTGAAATAAAGACAACGTATACTCTATACAGATATATTGCACGTGTTATTAATAGTCATAACCAGTTGAATTCAATTACGTTTTTACTTTCGCTATTCATGAAATGCAATTGCAATAATAATAATTATAACTTTTGAAACCGTCTAAGAGTTTTAATTAAAACAAAAAAAAACATATAACAAGAACAAATGGTGAAACAAAAAGTTAACCGACAAATAAAGTATTTTTTACTGAAGAAAGATAATAATTCAAAATTTCAGTGAAGATGGTTTGTTCATACATATAAATCACCATCGCAAGTACTGCAACTGGGAGTCCGTTTCTTCATTACCCAACGGTCCATTCAAGGCCAACTACAACAATGCGCCGGGTTGCTAGCCATTTTCATCGCAAGGTATTATTTAAGGTATTGCAACTGGGATTGAGTCCGTTTCTTTATTATCCCTTGGTCCATTCGAGGCCAACTACAACAATGCGCCGGGTTGCTAGCCATTTTCATCGCAAGCTATTATTTAAGGTATTATCAGGGTGGAAATCCGTCTCTCTCGGGGTTCTCCACACGT